AGGCAGAGGCATACATAGATACATGTACCAGAAGGAAGCCAAAGACGTGTCCGCGCTGTACAGTTTCCAGGGGGCGATCTATGACCTCGCCGCACTGTAAACGCCGTAGGTGTCCATTGCCCACTTGAGCCAGACGAAGGCCACCACCTCCAACGCCACAACGGCAGCCCACATTCCCCACGGGGAGCTCCTGCAGCTGGCTGTGCTTGGCCTACCAGCGAGGATTGCCTCCACAGCGAGCGCCTCTTCCGCGAGGCAGGCGTCACCAGCGCTCATCCGTCCGTTCGCCACTGGCGGTGAAGGCGTCTGCCGCCGTCCTCGCGAGTCGCTTCTCGATTCCCGAGCGGCTGTGCGTGACGGCATCTCCTCAAAACCCTCTTTGGCCCTGCTTTTCCTTGCGTTGCTTTGGTTGTGTTCGCAAGCATTGGCCCAGGCACATGCGTGGAGATGCCAGTACGTAAATACGCGAAAGGAAGAGGCGTGAATAAAAGAAAAAAAAGTCACTAGAAAGCAAAAAACAACAACAACGACGCAATTCTCATGTGTTGCATTGTTATTTTCCATTGCCACGCGCACGCGTGTGTTTGTGTATGGTACTTTTTATCTTCTCTACCCCCTCCCTCTCTCTCCCGCTCTTTGCCCGTGTGCAAAACCACGCACACCCCACCTGCAAAGGGCATATTCACACATATATTTCTTTGTCCAGGGTCCTCCAGCAGATATGTGTATTTTTGGTCTCTTACCGTTGCTGCAAACAAATACGCACACAAAAAAGTCGCAAATCGTTGCAGGCAAAAAAAGAAGAAAAAAAAGCACGCACTATCCTCCCCCTAGACCTTCTTTTTTGCTCGGAGCAACGTCCAATAAGAGAATCTCGGCGAAAAAAAAAACTTGGAGGGCAAAAACAAAACCTGAATGAAATAAGAAATGTAAAACAAGTCTTTAAAAAGGGCGCTCGCCTCCAGGCACCAAATATCCTCAGTCTAGTTCATCCTCTGGGTGCGCGGAGGCGTGCGGGGTTGCACTGGCAGGGGCTCCTGCACCCGCACCCGAGGAGAACGACCCCGGGGCAGCACCAGGCATTGCCTTGGACATCATCTTCTGAAGCAGAGGGCCCACCTTGGGGTCATTCAGCAGCTGCAGAGCGGACATGGGATTTTGTTGCAGTGTGGCGAGCTTTGCCGCCACTTCCGGGTCCTTCATGGCCTCCCTGAGCTCCTCGTCTTTAAAGAGGTCATCCATAAAGGATTGCATGCCACCACCAGCACCGCCAGGGAAGCCACCAGCACCGCCAGGGAAGCCACCAGCACCGCCAGGGAATCCACCAGCACCGCCAGGGAAGCCACCAGCACCGCCAGGGAAGCCACCAGCACCGCCAGGGAAGCCACCAGCGCCGCCAGGGAAGCCACTAGCGCCAGCACTCTGCGCTTGCCTTTCTCTCTCCTCTTCACGTTGTTCTTGTTCGCGCTGGCGGCGAAGGGCCTCCTGCCGCAGCCTTTGTGCTTTCTCTTCCTTGTGTCGCCGGAACTGGCGAATTGCGTCTGCCTTTTCCTGCACAATCTTCAGTAGGTCTTTCAGTCCTTCCTCGTAGTCGACAGCTTGGGCCTCGCTGAGGTCCTTCAGCGCCTCTTCCCACTTGCCCAGGTGGCGGTTGACGGTGCCGCGAACACGCAGTGCCCGCACATTCTCGGGGTTGATTTGGAGGGCTCGATTGGCATCCCGCAGAGCACCGCCCGGTCTTGCGCATTGGAGTAAGTAGCTCGCACGCTGGGACCAGTACATCGCCTTACCGGGCACAAGCCGTAAGGCTCGCGCCATTAGGTCGATGGCTTCGTCCAGTTTCCCACCGGCCGCACAGTCTGCCGCCTGTGCCTTGAGTCCCATGGCCTCCTCTTCTTCCTCGGGGGTGGGGTCGCTGACGGTAGAAACTTGGATGCCATCATCGGGCACCTCCTCCAGCTCCCATCGCTCTGGATCGGGCTCGCTCATCAATTCCTCCTCCTCCTCCTCGTTTGTTTCCTTTTTTGCCGCGTTGCTGTCCGGTTTATCCCCAGTAGGTGAAGTTGGGGGAATAGAGGCGCCCAGGGAAACCATGTACGCCCGCAATCCCTGAAGTTCTTCGCGGTGTAGCTCCTCGGGATGATCGCGCAGGTGCTCCAGCACGCGGTTTACCGCCTCCAAGTCTGTCGCGTTTAAGACAGGCATTGGTACCTTGATATTTTTTTACTTATAGTTTTGTTACTGCTGCTGTAATTTCTTCGCCTTGGCCTCTCCGTCACTCCACACTCCTTCTGCCTGTTGTTTCGCTACTAGAAGCCACACGATTTCTCAAGTCGCAAAACCAAAATAAAAATAAAAGAGGGGAGAGGTAAAGGAAGTAGCAATGTTTTTTTTTTTGTCTTTTCAAACGTGGCAGAGGATAGGGCTCTGAGTAAAGCAAACGTGCGAGATAGAAAAACAGAGCGACAAGGAGCGGCTATCGGCTCAGCATTCACACCCACCTCTCCCACGGCCACAGCGTCGGGCATACACGACGCATGTATGCAGAGAAAAATGGCACGTCATGTCTCCCCCTCGGTGTGTCCTTCACACGTGTGTGTGTGTGGGAGGAGGGTGTGTCAAGCAGCGGCGGCGTCAGTGGCGGCGGGCGAGGGTGAGGGTTCCGGTATGCAAAAGTGTGCCAAAAGTTCTCGTCGTCGTTCTTCATACTCGTCCGGTGGGACATTGACGACCCCAAAGGTGCCGTGGAGAGTCCTCACCTTTTTTGACTTTTTGGATATGGCCTCGGCGTTGACGCCGTACAGTGCCTTCATCGTTTCCTCACGCTGCGATGCACTCCCTCCCTTGACCGCAGTATCTGGCTCCTTGCCGTGTCTGTGGACCTTGCCGTCATTTTTTCGCGGTTTCCTCCCGTATCGCGTCTGTTTATAATATTGATGCAGCACATCGTTCACATTTTCCACCGCAAACGCCTTGTACTGATACTTTTGCGTAATAAATGTCCTGAGCGTCAACTCCGGCTCGGCCCCAGTCATGGGCTTCATGCCTTTCGGCAGACGTGCCTCATAGAGCGACTTGCCCTTTTGATTACCGATAGCCTCCATCAGTGCAACCTCCGCCGCATGCCATTTGTCCATGTTCGTTGACTTAATCTTTGAGACGTGCACCCCGAGTGAGCGGTGAATGCCGGAGCAGCGGATGCACAAAAAAACGCCGTGGTTTACAGATGCCCAGCGTGTGCCGTTGTTGTTGCAGTCATTGCAGGTGCTGTTTGGGGGGGTCTGGCAGAGGCGCTCAACGCGCTCCCGGTTGGCATCCCAGTCCTCCTCCGCGTCCTCCTCCGCCGCTGCCACTTGGGGAGGCGCCGCCTTCTCCTTGTGGCCCTTGCGGTGGTGGTGTGTGCGATGTCCCTCCTTCTTTTCCCTGCCGCCATGGGGCTTCTCCTCCGGCATCCGCCTCGTGTGTGCGGTGCACGGAGCTCCCGTGAAACGCGCCTCCAATCTGGTGAGGGAGGGCGCAGAGAAGAGAGGGGAAAGGGGGAGTGCAGCGACGAGCAGAAGACGGCGGGGAAGAAAAGGGAAACGAGCCACATCACATGCAATCCGCACCGCCCACCGCCGAGTCGTGCACATAAAACCGTGAGCCGCGTGCATGTGTGTATGCGGCCAACGCTCCCACCTGCCGTCCACCACAACTTCAAATGCAAATTTAAGCCATTTGTTGCACACACACACACACACACTCTCACACACGCCTCTTTCTTTTTTTCCTTCTCTACTCCTTCTCCGTTCAGACGCATTCTTTGTTCCCTTTATTCCTGCGCGAGTCCCCTTCTCGTGCATGCTTTTCGCTCTTGCTTTTTTTGTTCTGTTTCTTTCTTTGCTACGTCCTGTTGTTTTTAGTCAGCGTGTTAACAGAGCAAAATACGCCTTCGCGGAAAGGCAACAGGACTTATTTCCCAACTATCACGCCACACCTTTTCTGGCATCTGTTCATTTCTTTCTTTCTTCTTTGTCTTTCCCTCCCCCCCCCCCCCCGGTTGCTTGTGCGTTGCCGGGGGGGTGGGGCCTCCTCGCGGGCGGCTGCTGGCCCCGCAGGGGAGACTCACTGGATGTGCAGAAACACCGTGTCCCCGGAGCGCACCGCGTCCCACGTCGCCAGCTGCACCGCCCGGTCCCGGACCGTCACCTCCCTCGGCGGGTACCCGGCCTTCAGGGAGCACGCGGGGACGCCGCGTGGGAAGGCCTCCGGCTGGTCCTGGTAGGCGCGGCAGGCCAAGTACTCCACAAGCAGGCGCGCCGGGGTTTCCGGTTTGAGCTGCAGCGTCAACTGGCCCTTCGGTAGCCGGCAGCGGAGGGAGAAGGCGCCCGCCTCGCGCTCCTCCGCTAGGTACGGGCTGATGTCAACAAGCTCGACCGCGGGCCCTGCCTCCTCCTGCGCGGGCTGTGCGGCCACAGCATCAGGCGCGTCGCCGGCGTGATCCTCAACTACAACCGGGGAACCGGGGAGTTCAACGGGGGGCGACGCAGCGCCGCGCGCAGCGTGTTTCTTTTCCTCCCACTGCGAAGGTGACCCCCGTTCTGCCACAAACAAAAGCAGCGTCTCCGCAACCTCCCTCACTTCAATAGCTAATTCCCTCACGTTTAACGGTATTCGGGTCTCCTTCTTTGTGGTGAGGGGGTTTACAATGAGCAAGGTTGGGAGGTCCCGCTCCACGTCAATGCGGTATCCGTGGGCCAACTGCGCCCCACGCGGCGAAGTCGCGCTGATCTGGTAGATGGAAAACATGTTAAGTGTCTCGTGCACTTCCTCACAGCACCAGATGTCTCTGTTGACGCGCACACTTGCAAAGTTGTCCCCAAGCAAACTTAACAGGACCCACTGATCCCTGCCCAACGCCTGCTCACAGAATCGTGAAAAGGATGTGGCCGTCTCGTTAACGAACTGGGGCGGCGCGAAAAGTGCAAAGGTCGAGTCGGCATCAGAACTCGTATCGGGCTGAGACGAGAATTGCATGGTGAAGGGATCTACTGGCCTCCGATGCCCCGGTGAGGCGGTGGGAAGTGACTCGCGGCTTGCCCCCACGCCACCGTCAAGTCTGCTGATGAGGTACGGCGCTGTCGTGTGCCTTGGCGAACCCGAGGCCGGCGCCTCAGACGGCAACGGCACGCCCTGCGCCACTCGCGGCGGGGGCTCGTGCTCCGCCACGTAGAGCGAGTGCGCCGCCGCGAGGTCAAAGTTGGCGTTGGCGAGGTAGCCCACCGCCTGCTCCTCGCTGCAGCTGGTCATGGCCATGAGGGTGGCCACCACGTCAACGTCACCGTCGCCCATCTCCGCCTGGGCCGCCCCCTCGCCCTCCCTGCGGGGGGTGTCGCGGTGCTCGGCCTGTCGCCGGGGCCCCCCGCCGCGGCGTCTCCTGCGCGGGCGGCGACAAATATAAATACCGCGGGATTTGCAGTATCGGCCGGGGCTGCGGGCGTTCGGTCACCGGCCGTGCCTGCCGCCTCCGCGCCACAGCGTCACACTCGCAGAGACACGCAAGCCCCCGACTGGCGCCAGACCCAAGGCAGAACTTTCGCCTAAACTGTCGGCACGAACTTCGCTCTCCTCTCCTTCAGCTCTACACCTCTTTGCGGTTGAAGACCTCGCGGGTTGCCGCCCGAGCGACAAACGAAAAAAAAAAAATGAGGCGAAGAGAAATTGCTGCGACCCGCACGGCAAGCAACCACCCTGTTTGGTCAGCCTTTACATTACTCCCCCGCACCATTCCCAGGCAGAAAACACCGCAAACAGACGACACTCAAAACAGGCGTTCCGTAGCCACACCTGCATACATCTCCGCAAAGACCAGATGCAGCTTTTAGATTGTCTCCCTTCAATCATAACACCACGCACAAACTTCGCATGTCAGCCAATAAGGCAAAAAAAAAGGCAATCAAACAATTATTTCGGAACCACCAACACAAAATACATCATTTACATCTGTTCTAACGAACACCCCCAACAAGGCCAAGAACAACCCTAAGGAAGAACAATAAGAGCAAAAACAAAACAACCACGCCACAAAACCGGCATCACAAACAGTTTTTAAAAAATTCAAATATTTCTTCAACCATCACCTATGCCTCATCCCACACAGTCCCCACAGTCTTCACAACCGGCCCCGCCTCACCCGGCACGACGGCTGCTGCGCTCTTGGCTTCCAGCTCCTGCCACTGTTCCGCAGTCCTTCCGGCGGACGGCCCAGTTTCCTCCGTGGCAGCCTTCACAACCGGCCTCGCCTCACCCGGCACGACGGCTGCTGCGCTCTTGGCTTCCAGCTCCTGCCACTGTTCCGCAGCCTCTCCGGCGGACGGCCCAG